AATTTCCGCCACATTGTGATGAAAAATATTGTTCGTAACTCGTGAAAAAATGTTTTTTGCACTTCATCACAATGTGTGGAAAACATCTCGCCTTCGGCTCGTGATATAAACCTCCCACTCGCCAAAAACATTTTTTCACGAGTTACGAACAATATTTTTCATCACAATGTGTCGGAAATTAGACTTTTAGGCACGCGGAGCGTGCCGAAAAGTTCACTTTTCGTCACAGCGTGATGAAAAATATCGTTCGATACTCATGGGAAAAGTGTTTTTTGGCTCGTGGGATTATATCACTCGCCTACGGCTCGTGCTATAAACCTCCCATGAGTATCGAACGATATTTTTCATCACAATGTCTGGAAAAGGGACGAAAAAGTTACTTTTTCGCACAGCGTGATGAAAATGTTTTTTTGCTTTACTCAATGACAACCCAACAAGGATGGGAAAAACCATCAAGGAAGTTGTTCAGAAACAGAAGTTATTCAGAGTNTTTTTTCATCAGGTTTATTATTTTTTATCGAAAGAATGAAGGAGGGAACATTGAAAATAGGGCGACAGAAGTAGTGGAGAAATTTTCAGTCTGGATAAGTTTCAGAAGATATCTTTTATTGATGGGAGAATGGATGAGAATTAGTTTTTCGGAGCTGAAATGATTTTTTCATCACGCTGTACGAAAAAGTTACTTTTTAGGCATGCGAAGCGTGCACGGCAGCCAACACGGCTTTGCATGCCTAAAACACCCCTTTTCCACACATTGTGATGAAAAATATCGTTCGATACTCGTGGGAAAAGTTTTTTTGGCTCGTGGGAGGTTTATAGCACGAGCCGAAGGCGAGTGATATAAACCTCCCACGAGCCAAAATAGTAGATTACACACCTCGGCCAGTAAAGTAAGGAATGTCTCAGATCACATGTTTGTCGACCTCGGCTTCGCCTCGGCCAACAATTACATGTGATCTGAGGCTTTCTTATTTACTGGCCAAGGTGTGTATACTATTTTTCTGCTCGACGCAGCCGGAAAGTGGCAACTTCGTTTGGCGCCGCGGCCAAGAAGTTGACGCTTTCCGGCCGGAGGGCAGAAAAACTCTTTTTCGCACTCGTAACAAAATATACTATTATTTCGTCCTATTCAAATAAACTCCATTTGATTCAAATAAATCATTTGTCCGGATGCACCATCCACCTTCGACCGAAACACCCAAATTTTCGAGAATTCCCCAAGTTTCTGCGTCATGTGTTGGGCATTAGGGGTTGAAGGGGCACGTGGAAAGGTGTTAAAGTCATCTCGCGCATTTGGCCGATGAGAGAGCGCAGGGTGAAGAGGAACCGAGGGTGGGATGATGAGGGGAAGTGGGTGTGGGGTGCCACAAGTTCGTGGGTACGTTCCTGGCTGCCGCCCTTGTGGCCGATCAATATTACGGCTGGTGGGGTCGAGCCAGTCCTGGCGAGCAAAAAGGGAGTGAGGGGCGTGGGGG